GATTTGTCGAGGGGGACAATGCTCGTGGCGGTCGTCGCGGCCCTTTCCCTCCCCCCGGTCCCGTTTTCTTCCCCTCCGTCGCCTTTTCTGCCCGCGCCTGCTTCTGCAGTGCGGGGATGTGGCAGGTGGGGGGGAGGTGGCAGGGGAGTGGAGCCCGCGCCCTGCCCGTGCCTTTGCCAGCACCAGCGCCTGTGGGGGGTAGGGTGATGGGTTGGCGGATAGTGGAGCAGCAGTGGGGGGGAGGGGATCTGCAGCACCAGCCCCCCCCCTGCCCCCCCCCTCTTCTCCTCCATCCCCCTGCTGCGGATGCAGCAGTGGGGGGGAGGGGATCTGCAGCACCAGCCCCCCCCCGCCCCCCCCCCCCCCCCCCCTTCTCCTCCATCCCTCTGCTGCGGGTGCAGCAGTGGGGGGAGGGGATCTGCAGCACCAGCCCCCCCCCCCGTCCCCCCCCCCCCCCTTCTCCTCCATCCCCCTGCTGTGGGTGCAGCAGTGGGGGAGAGGGTATGGGGGTGGCGGGTGTGAGTGAACTGCTGCCGCCTCTCCTCCTCTCTCTCCCACTGCTGCACATGCCACTGGCGGGGGGGGGGGATGTTGGGGAGATGAGGGAGTGGTGGTAGGGGTGTGACAGTGAGGTTTGGGGAATGGAGGAAGTTGTAGGGGGGTGGGCACCGTGAAGCCAGCAGCTCCAGTCGCCCGTGAGACCGTTGCGCCAGTTGCTCGTGAGCCCGTTGCTCCTGTCGCCCGTGAGTCAGTTGCTCCTGCCACTCGCTTAACCGCGGAGCCAGTTACTCCAGTTGCCCGTGTGCCAGTTGCTCCATTTGCCAGTGTGCCAGTTGCTCCAGTTGCCCGTGTGCCAGCAGCTTCAGCCGCCGCCCACCACCTCCTCTCCTCTCATGGTCCCTCCTCCTCCTCACTTGCCCTCTCCTTCTTCCGCTGCGCAGGGTGTACCCCTTCAGGGGGTGTTTCTGCACATGGCTATTCTTGCATGCAGTTAGGGGGTGTGTCAGAATATATTTTATATATATTTCTGTATAACTGCGTGTAGTTCTAGCTGTAGTGTAGTTACTGTTATAGTCCCTGTAGGTGGTGCACCCTTTGCCATCTCTCGCTCCTATATCTTGTACCTTGTTCTCTTAGTGAAACACTTTTTCCTTGCTCTCTCTTCCTACTCTCGACACTTGCCTAGCACTCACACCCTAGGCACTACTAAGTCATTTCAACACGTAGTTCACGTCGAAAAACACGTTCATGGTGAATAACCACGTCTGAACGGTAGGACCACCCCGTTGACTCGGATCAAAGCAAAGCAGGCGCTGCAGCTTCAGCGTCATCGGCGACAGCAGTGCTGACTCACTGGTCGGCACCGAAATCGTGACGCGGGGTTGGCTTCTGGCCGCATTCGTCGCTCCGGGGTGTCGCGCCGTGGTCGCCGTCTCCGTCGTTGCGGGCGACGTCATCAATGGCCGCGCTCGAGGGTTGCCCCACACTTCCGTGTTGTGATGCCTGACGTGCGGGTTGTCCGTGCGCGCCTTGTGTTTGCGATTGTGCTTGTGCTCGTGCGACGTCATTTTGCAGGGACGTTCATTCTGCCGTCAATGCCACGATTTCTTCGGAATTTTCGCGCAAATGCTGCAGCAGTTCTATCTGATGCTCCTGCGTGAGGCTCGTGGCGTCGATATGCTCGGCCATGTCGATGGGCGTCGGCTCAGCTTAGTTCTAGGCGCAATCGTGGCTGCACGCGTTTACGAGAGAACGCGAGGACAGTGGCTCCTATGGACTAAGGGGCGTGAGTCCCTTCGAGTGCAAAAATCAAAAGTTGATTTCTCTGGGTGCGGAGATGCGCGGTCCGAAAGGAGGTGGCTCTGAATACCAAGAGTTACGGGTGCAATGGAACGAGATACCGAGGATTGCACTATGTGGTCAAAAGGTACCAAGTATGAGCGAAGGCATGAGCGAATACTTATGTGCGAAAACAGGCAACGATTACGCGGTGCATGCGAGCTAGCTAATGCTAGGCTAGCATCGAGGTTTGGGCTAGCCCCGAAGCGTAGGTCCAAGTTTTCCCATTATCCAGCGAGTTTCTCAACCTTCTGTCGTTGTAGTTCGAGTCTACACATGGAGTCTCACTCGCATTTCAACCGACTACCTGACGACCTACTACTCAAGATTCTATGTCATACCTGCAAAATGTCACTGTCCCCTATCTTCGATACTGATGCAGCATTCGAAGGTGCGACATGCGACGATGCTGCACGCGACAATGCTGCGTGCGACTCTTTGTATCCGAGGCAGAAATACTTCTGGACTGAAGCTTCACCAAAGAGCCCAATCAGTAGCGAACAATTCTATCTCGTACCGACTCCTCCTGCCTTCACCGACGCAGCTCTTAGCCTCCTCATCGCTTCCATTTGCCGTCGCTGGCGCCGACTCTCCCAGCGTTACGTCTGAGACCTCGCCAACGCTGTCTCATGCTTCCCAAACCTGACCCAACTGCATCTGTGTGACGAAAGCGTGGAAACCCTAGATGACGCGTTCCTCTCGCACCTCGGCTTGTCTTGCCCTAAGCTGGCGGTCTTCCACGTGGGAAGCAAGATCATTGGAGATCCGGAAAACGACGACAGGAAGCACTTACATCCGGTTACCGAAAACGGTTTGCATCAGCTCTTTCAGCAATGCAAGCAACTTGAGGTGCTGTCGCTGGACTGCCTTCATCCGAACGTCGTATTTCTGGCTTCGTTCGTCCAGCTTTTGCAGCTTCGCATTCTCATCCTTCCGGACGCTTCAGCGCTGGCTGCTCCTGGGCTCTCGCACCTTTCGTCTCTCACGTCGATTCGCATAACGTCCCAGGACTTGGTCTATCAGCATCTCGTGAATCTCGTTCAGCTTCAGAAGCGTACCAATGTTGCAATCAATTCCGATTACTGGATTGACGAACCAACCGCGATCTCCGCTTCACGTCTGCGGTTCCTAAACTCTCTGCAACTCGATGGCGAAGGTATTTTTTTCAGCCAGTTCTTTCCCTCGGGATTGCCTTGTTACGGGCTGGAACGGCTGGTGATAGCGAATTGCGACTTGGACCGGCTTTCGAATGACATTGGCGAGGTTTTGCCGTGTCTCCGCGATCTGACCCTTCGCTGGTGCTCACAACTCACCGGGCTGCCCGAAGATTTCACGTCTCTGACCCGGTTGGAGAGCTTGACAGTCTCCTCATGCCTCGGGTTTTCCAGCCTGCCCGACAATTTCGGCCATTTGCCTGCCCTGAAAACATTGTTCCTGTGCATGCTGGCCTTGACCAAGCTCCCCGACTTGTTTGGGCGTCTCAGATCTCTCGAAAGAATCACAATGTGCAGGCTTCCGATCACGGAACTCCCAGAATCCTTCTCTTCCCTCACCTCCCTGAAGACTCTGCTCATGGTTGCTTGCTGCGAGATTCAGCAGCTTCCTGCGAATTCCGGCCGCCTCGAAGCTCTTAGGTCGCTGTGCATGGTGAAGCAGCCAATACTGAAGCTTCCGGTGGGATTGGGGGGGACGGCTGCCATCCAGAGGATTTATCAGGGAGAAGTGTTCAATCGGCTGCAGCTCCCGGGTTCACTCACTGAGTTGACTTCGTTGACTCGGCTTGACCTGGATTTCATTTCCGTTGAGAAGCTTCCTGAGGGCATTGGGGAGCTGAATCAGCTGCGTCAACTTCACATCCAGTGCTGCTTCGATCTCAAGGAGATTCCAGATTCCGTGACAGGGCTGAATAATCTGGATACCCTCACAATTGGGTTGTGCAGCCAGCTCGTGTCACTTCCCAAGAAGCTAGATGCCCTTTTCAATCTCAAACGCCTGGAGATAATCGGGTGTCACCCTGCTGTATGGCTGAACGGGCCTCCAATCTCCCTGCCTTCCTCTCTCGAGTCCCTTAGCCTGGGGAGCTTCAATCACACCATGTCTCTGCCAGAACTCCCAGTGCTGCCGAATCTCAAGAAGCCGACTTTGAATATGGTCAATGTGGAGGGTGGGGAAGCTGGTGTGACTGTCTCCAGTGCTTTCCCCCAGTTAGAGCATCTGGAGTTGGTGTTGGCTGAAGATGCAGAGGAGCTCACCTTTCCCTTGGCTTCTCTCCCCCAGCTGCGGATTCTGGTGATCTACAGGGCTGGTAACATCAGGAAGCTTCCAGGAAGCATCGGCTCGGACCTGAAGCAGCTTCGGCACTTGCAGATAGAGAATGCTCCAGAGTTGAAAGTGCTGCCAGAAACAATCTCTCAGCTTTGCCACCTGACCTCCTTGGACGTTCATGCACCCAAGCTCACTTCCCTTCCCACCAGCATCGGTGCGCTATCCAGGCTACGGGAGCTGAATCTCTCAGACTGCTCAGCCCTGGAGAATCTCCCTGCTTCATTCACCCAGCTCGCCTGCCTGAACAAGTTGAGTGTTGTAAACACTGCCATCCGCTCGTTTCCAGAAAATTTCACGCAACTGACCCGGCTGAAGAGTCTAGATCTGTACGGATGTGCGAGATTGGAGAGCCTGCCGGAAGATTTTTCTGAGCTTGGGATGCTGCAGTTTTTAGGTATGGTGGGTGCACGCATGAACTGGACAGGGAACGAGAACGGGAGGTAATAGACCAAGGCATGTATGGGTTAACCATTAGAAGTTATTAGCTGTGAGGTGATGATTGTACCGTACCGTATTCTCCCGGACAAAACACCCCCCCATAATTGTACACCCCCGGGTAGCTTGTGCGGGGTGGGTGTTATGGGGAGCCTCGTTTCTACTATACCCCCCTTTTTGCCTGATTCTCTATAAGACCCGGGGGGGGGGTGTTATGGGCGGCAAAAATACTGAATTTGCTTACTGTACATTGCATACAGGGTACTTTACAGGTACCGGTACTACAGAAGTAATGTGCCAGCACATAGGCATCGACAATGTCACCTAGACTGCAGAAACATCACCACAAGAGCACCTCACATCCACAATTTCACCTAAAAAAACTCTATACAAAGTGCCTTCTACTCAGAATCGTCTCCTGCATGCCATTCTTCACAGTCTTCCCCGTCAAAGCAGCCAGGGCGCAACCATTCGTCATCGCTAGGCTCTTCTGCCTCCCCGCCTTCCTCAAGCACGCCCCCCTCCTCCTCTGCCGCCGCCGCTTCCGCGTCCTCCTCAGCGGCGTCAGCCTCCTCTGCCGCCGCCTGCAGCACCTCGGCCGGCATGGGGACTTCGGCGTAGAAGGGGTTGACGACGAGCTCGTCGTCAACCAGGTCGTTGACGTCGTCAAGGACTTCCACCTCACCCTTGTCCCGCATGTGGGCAAGGATGAGGTGGTCCTCGCTGCCATCGATGGGGGTGGAGATCCCACACGTGAGGAACGCCTTCTTCACGAGCTCCTCTGGGATTGCTTCCCAGGACTCATCGATCCAGCGGAGCACCAACTCCGCTGGCGGCTTCTTGAGATTGCCTGAGGGACGGGGAAGGGTAGACAAGGACGAATGTGAATTTCCAGAGCGTAAGCTGACATTGATTAAAATTCACGCATGCGAATGTCATGGTTCAACTCACCGCCCTTGGTGGTGGTGTTGATTCCTTCTTTTTCGAACCAGCTGCTGTAGCGATGACGCACACCGCACTTGAACGCGCGGTCTATCGACACATCCAGAGGCTGCACTAGCGGGGTGCAGCCCCCTGGGATGACAGCCCGTGACAGCCGAAACATCCGCATGGTCTGCCCGACCGCCTCAGTCAAGTGGCCGCGGTAGGAGTCGAGCACAACCAAGGCCTCCCTGCGGCGTCCAGTTGATTCACGCAAGGGCTTCAGAAACGGCACCATCACCTGGGTGATCCAGTCCTGCACAAGTGATTCGTCCATCCACCCTTTGTCTTGTGCACGGACCACCACACCTGCCAAAGAATACCGGTACGTCAGGGTCAAATTCGGTTGCGACTGTTGACAGGCTAGAGTAGTGACATCATCCTAAACGTGCTACGCTTACCGGCAGGGATGGGCACCTTCGGTATGGTCTTGCGCTTGAACACCACGTACGGCGGCAGCTTGAGCCCGCTCGCAGTTACTGCCAGCATGACAGTAACACGCTCCTTCTCATAGCCCGCACTCCGTACGTGAACCGTCCGCGCTCCCTTCATTTCGAGCGTGCGCTCCGCCGGCATCTCCAGGAAAAGCGGGGTTTGGTCCGCGTTCAAGATGAGGTCAAGCGGGTAGTCGTGCAGAGAGCGCATCTGGCGCACAAACTCCCAGAAGGACTCCACCTTGGCCTTGCAATCTGCAAGCAAAGCCACGAGACACATTAGCTCAGCACTGAGATGGCAATCAAGGAGCACGACGGCGCAACACTTACCCGCTGCCAACTTCTGTCCCATCTTCGTCTTCACCCGCCTTGCCAGATGCCAGCGCGCGCGGAAACGAGTCGCCCAGCGGAACGATGCGCGCCAGTTGACCCCGGGCATCCGGTGCTTCACGTACTTGGCGCTCCACTTCTAGAGCATGCTGACCGAAACGGCGAGCCCCCTCCCCCTGTGCTTGAGGAACTGGCGGTAGACCGCCCGTTCCATGAAAGGGAACTTGGACTTGCGGCCAGCTCCCATGAGGCGACGACGGCAGCTGGAAGAGACCTCCAGCCGCTCCCTCATCTTCTTCCAATCGCGGATCTGGCATGGCTGCACCTTCGCGAGCTTCGCCAGGGCGCGATTCGATAGGTCGGGCTGCGAGTCCTGCATCTTCAACCAGTGGAGCTTCTCCTTCGCGGTGATTCCCTTGCGCTGGCGTTTCGTCATGCGATGGCGAGGGGATGGCGGGTCAGCATCGGCGTTGCGCTTCTGCTGTCCCTGCGGGCGGTTCCGCTCCGGGAACGTGGGGACAACCACTCGAGGAAGGGTAGGGCGAGGACGGTCCAAGCTACTGCTCGGTTCATCCCTGGTAGAAGCACTACCGGGAGCATCCGGCTGAGGAAAGATCGGGCGAGGAGACGTCCGTGCGCGTGCATAAGCGCTAGTCTGATTGGTGGAAACAGGCCACTGCCGCCTATCTACCGTACTGCTAGAATCTGGAGATGAAGCCATGCTTGGGAACTAAGGCAGGTCGATGTCACTCGCCATGGGAGAAATGACTTTAAAGACGATACCCTCGTGCACAGGAAGGAGACGCTCTCACAGCCTGCCGAGCACTTGTCAAAGACGTGCACTGGAACCGCTTGACGAAGAGAAGAGCAAGCTTGGGTGAGGAAGCTTGGACATGACTACCGTACACGGCAGTCAAGGGGTCACAGGTACAGTGACAACACAGCACCGTGCGCGATTCCGGCCTCATACTGCATGAACCCAAGCTGCGCGAGGTTGGCACTGATGTCAACCAATCAGGTGGCACAGTGGGCCCACTGGAATTTGCCATGTGGCAGATTCCAGTGGAGGCCGACGTCATCCTCGTAGACGCGGTTTGGCGGCCCTGATTTTAAAAATAATAACAAGGCCAGACCCCTGTTTTTGTTTCCATTCATTTCTGCTTATAAAAAATGTGCAATATAATAAGACCCGGGTATTATGTATTTTTTTCCTATGAGGAGACCCCCCCCATTTTTTCCCTGTATTTTTAGCTATACCCTAGGGTGTTATGTCCGGGAGAATACGGTATCGCTGTCAGAGTTATATGACATAGCTACTGTAGGCTATAGTGGGGTAGCACATATGGGGTACAGTTGCCTAGGGTTTGCCTTTTGTACCCAACTTTCACTTAGTCATTTCATTCCTGTTTTCTTGATTCACATGGTATAGAGCGGGTTCCTACATGGGACCGTTCCTTCCTAAGGGCCCACCATAAGAATTTTTTTTTTAGCTGCCCGCGCACATTGCGCCCTGCCCTAAATTTTTTTTTTAGCGGCCCCTACGCTGCCCCTACGCGGCCTCTACGCCGCCTCCCACGCGCCCCCTATGCGGCCCCTGGCGGCGCCCTGACGAGGCCCCTGCCGGCGCCCTATCGCGGCCCCTGACGCGCCCCCTGGTGGCGCCCTGACGCGGCCCTGACGCGGCCTGACGCGGCCCCTGGCGGCGCCCTGACGCGGCCCTGCCGTGGCCCCTGACGCGGCCCTGACGCGGCCTGCCGCGGCCCCTGCCGCGGCCCTGAAGCGGCCCCTGACGCGGCCCTGACACGGCCCTGCCGCGGCCCCTGGCGGCGCCCTGACGCGGCCCCTGACGCGGTGCCCTGACGCGGCCCCTGCCGCGGCCCTGACGCGGCCCTGCCGCGGCCCCTGACGCGGCCCTGACGCGGCCTGCTGCGGCCCCTGCCGCGGCCCTGAAGCGGCCCCTGACGCGGCCCTGACGCGGCTCTGCCGCGGCCCTGACGCGGCCCTGACGCGGCCCCTGCCGCGGCCCCTGGCGGCGCCCTGACGCGGCGCCCTGACGCGGCCCTGCCGCGGCCCCTGACGCGGCCCCTGCCGCGGCCCCTGACGCGGCCCCTGACGCGGCCCCTGTCGCGGCCCCTGACGCGGCCCCGCCACCTACCTTTCCGGCCACGCCGCCTCCTCTCAGCGGCCCCGCCGCCTCCTCCCAGCGGCCCCGGACGCCGCCCTCTCAGCGGCCCCGCCGAGCCGCCCAGCAGCCTAGCCGCCCAGCAGCTGCGCCACCGAGCCGCCCAGCAGCCGAGCCGCCGAGCCGCCCAGCAGCTGAGCCGCCCAGCAGCAGAGCCGCCGAGCCGCCCAGCAGCCGAGCCGCTGAGCCGCCCAGCCGCCGAGCCGCCCAGCAGCCGAGCCGCCCAGCAGCCGAGTCGCCGAGCCGCCCTGCAGCCGAGCCGCCCGAGCCGCCCTGTCCGGTAAGAGCAGCGCCTCTCTCACAGCACTGCCCTCGCCCCACTGTTTGCGCTGCTAGTCTACTGCTGTCATGGCTACCCCTAGTGTTCTCGCTTTTGACGCTGAGGGTCGGGCCATTGACTTTGACGTCTGGATAGATGACCTGCAGCTTTTCTTACAGTGCGATAGGGCAGACGGCCTCTCCCTCTTTGACCTCACTTCTGGTGCCTCTCCTGCCCCCGCCACTGATGCTGACGCAACTGTTCGCTCCCAGTGGGCCACGCGCGATGCTGCTGCACGTCTTGCTGTGTGTCGCCACCTGCCTACCTCTGAGCGTGCGCACTTTAGCCAGTACAAGAGTGCTCAGACCTTGTACGACGCTGTAGTTGCACGCTACTCCTCCCCTGCCACTGCTGCACTGAGTCGCCTCATGCTACCGTACCTCTTCCCTGACCTTGCTGCCTTTCCCACAGTCGCTGACCTCATTACGCACCTACGCACTAGTGACACTCGCTACCGCGCTGCGCTTCCTGCTGAGTTCTGCGCCAAGAACCCCCCCCCCATGTACATCACCCTCTACTACATAGTCACCCGGCTCCCTGACTCCCTTCGCGTAGTCAGGGACCACTTCCTCTCAGTTTGCCCCACCACTCTCACCGTTGACCTCCTCGAGAAGTCCCTCCTAGCAGCAGAGAAGAGCATAGTAGCTGTAGGAGCCTCTCGTGGTGACCCTCGCACCCCCATCTTTGAGGGGTGTTCCCCCTCCCCCCTTTTGCCCTCTGTTGCCTCTGCTGCTGCAGCCGACCTCGTTGGGCTTGAGTCGGTCGGTGCGGCGTCTACCCCTAGCGGGAGACGCCGCCCTGGCAAGGGCAAGGGGGGCAGGGGCGCTGGAGGAGCTAGCGGGGGCGGTGGAGGCGGCAGTGGAGGCGGTGGAGGAGGTGGGGGTGGCGGTGGGGGTGGTGGCGGGGGTGGAGGTGTCGGTGGCGGCAGTGGAGGCGGAGGCGGCAGCGGCAGTGGCGGAGGGAGCGGAGGTGACGGCGGTGGAGGAGGAGGCGGCGGAGGAGGTGGAGCTGGTCGGGGTGGCGCTGCGCAGAGGGTCGGCTCCGGTGGTGGTCAGCGCCAGCAGCAGCAGCACCACCAGCAGCGCACTCGTGACATCCCCTCCCCTCAGCAGCTCCGTGAGTGGTACACTGCACGCCAGAGGGGTGGGGGTACTGGTCCGTGCACCTACGTCCTCCGCACCGGCGACCGCGCGGGTGAGCAGTGCGGGGGTGCGCACTCCACCCAGCGCTGCTTTGGCCGCCTGACGGACGCTTGGCGTCACCAGTTCCCTGTGGCCACTGAGATCCCCCGCTGGGGTGAGCTGTCTAGGGCGGGTGTGGCTGTCTTTGACCTTGACTTTGATGCTATTCTTGCTGCCATGTATACTGTGACTATTAGTGATGAGGGTGACTGTTACCGGTGTTTTCCGCCCGACCCGGGCATTGAGACTGCTGCTCTAGGTACTGGTGAGGCTGCTGCTTTAGGTGCTAGCGAGGCTGCTGCTCTAGGTGCGTCTGCTCCCTCAGGTGCTGGTGAGTCTGCTCTCTCAGGTTCTGCGTCGGCTTCGGCCTCCCACACCTTCACCCTTGACTCGGGGGCTTCTCGCTCCTTCTTTCGAGACCGCACCACACTCACGCCGCTTAGCCGGCCAGTTGCAGTCTCTCTGGCAGACCCCTCTGGGGGTCCTGTCCTTGCTCACTTCTCCACTGTCCTCCCGTGTCCGGCGGCCCCCTCTGGCACCCTGTCTGGTCTTTACCTTCCCTCGTTCTCTACGAACTTGGTGAGTGGTGCTGACCTACAGGATGCGGGGGTTCACCAGTTCACTCCTGCGAGTCGGCGGGTGACCCACTGCACGGACGCTCGGACAGGCCGACACCTGGCCACGTTTACCCGTCGGCCGGGGTCGAGCCTGTACACCCTGACCACTGCGTCTCCTCCAGTCACTGCGTCTGGTCAGGTAGCTGCGTCGGGTCAGGTGTTTGCTGCAGCGTCCAGGTCTGGTCCTGAGTCTGCCCCCTGTTCGTGTCGCCTCCTGTCTCACGAGACTCTCCTCTGGCACCACCGCCTTGGTCACCCCTCCCTGCTTCGTCTCCGAAGCATGGCCTCCCGTGTCCTTGTCTCAGGTCTTCCCCGGTCCCTCCCTCCCCTTCCTCCGGGGCCTGGCCCTACCTGCGTCCCCTGTGTCGAGGGACGGCAGCGGGCTGCCCCTCACTCCTCCCAGTTTCCTCCGACAGAGGCCCCGCTGCAGACGCTTCACATGGACGTGTGGGGCCCGGCCCGCGTCCGTGGACAGGGTCACGAGCGCTACTTCCTGCTGGTGGTTGACGACTACTCGCGTTACACCACAGTCTTCCCCTTGCGCAGCAAGGGTGATGTCACTGAGGTGTTGATCGACTGGATCCGCGCAGCTCGTCTCCAGCTCAGGCAGAGCTTCGGCTCGGACTTTCCTGTTCAGCGTCTGCACTCTGACAGAGGTGGAGAGTTCTCCTCTGGCCTTCTGCGAGCCTACTGTCGTGCACGAGGCATCCGCCAGACCTTCACGCTTCCGGACTCTCCACAGCAAAATGGGATTGCTGAGCGCCGCATTGGCATGGTCATGGACGTCGCTCGTACGTCCATGATGCATGCGGCTGCCCCCGATTTTCTGTGGCCGTTTGCGGTTCGGTACGCGGCGCATCAGATCAACCTTCACCCCAGGGTCTCCATGCCGGAGACCTCCCCAGCTTTGCTGTGGACGGGGAAGGTTGGCGATGCGTCTGCGTTCCGTGTCTGGGGATCTCGGGCGTTTGTCCGCGACTTGTCTGCGGACAAGCTGTCCCCTCGTGCTGCTCCTTGCGTCTTCCTTGACTTCCCCCCTGACGCGCCAGGGTGGCAGTTCTACCACCCCACCTCTCGCCGTGTCCTGTCCTCCCAGGACGTCACGTTTGACGAGTCGGTCCCCTACTACCGCCTCTTCCCCTACCGCACTCCGTCCCTCCCCCCGCCACCGCTCTTCCTTGTCCCAGGTCCCCCCCCGGTAGACCCCCTCCCCCCTCAGGGTCCTGCCCCTTCAGGTGTGTCCCAGGTAGACGCAGTCGAGCCTGTCGAGGTTACTGGTGACTCTGGTGCTGCTGAGGGTGCTGAGCCTGGGGGTGCTGACTCTGGGGGTGCTGAGCGTGTGGGTGCTACGCCTGGGGGTGCTGAGCCTGAGGGTGCTACTACTTGGGGTGCTGAGCCTGAGGGTGCTGAGCCTGGGGGTGC